TTGGCAAAAAGAAATATATATTGGCTGGCCACAGTATAGCGCACTCTTTCGCACAACCTGGCCCACTCTCTTTCTCTCTCGCTCTAAATATATGCATCTTTCTCGCTCTCTCGTTATTTGTGCGTGACAAACGCCGCGAATTTCCGTTCGGTTAGCAGACGCTTCCTTTAATTTTTATTTGCGCTGACAAATGGACATATATATGGACATACACTATGGGCATACATATACCTTGGACACATGCTTTGTACAACAAATTTTACTTTTTTGGCAAAGGCAATTTGCGCTAAAAAAAAAGACATATATCCATTATTAACAAGTACATGCTGCTGAAAAATAACTAAAAAAAACAGCCCATATATACATATATATATATATATATATAATTTTTGTTATCTCTACGAGCACGTGCATTCACAATTTGTTGTCCATGGCTTTAAATACAAGAGAGCGTGCTCTAATCGGGTGTGCACGACTGGCAGATACTCCCAGTCCAAGCTGACCAAAACTCATGCATACTATATATAAGAGCTCGACTCTTGTTTAACTTCGGAACTTATAGTCCGATCTTTATGAATTTTGTGGGAATTCAATATGGAAGCGCAGATTCTTACTTTTCAAATGAGCCGTGGAGAATGTGTCAGATTATCCAAAAAATAAAATATATATAAACCCATATACTAACAAAGATTCTCTGCTGCCTGTCACATAAATTCACAGAAAACCAATATGCCCTTTCTAGCAAATTTTCATTGAGTTCCGCTCAAAACGAACCTGTAAACTACATTGTGCATGGTATCGTGGTAGTATGTTAATTTGTGAACAACAACAAATAAAAAAAATAAAACAAACTGAAAACTAAATAAATGCGGCATTAATTATGCATTTATTTAAAAGCGTATCAAGCGCCGCGGGCTATGACCAAATTTTATCATGAGTGTAAATCGTATATATACCAGATGTGTATGCGAAAACCTCGATTCGATTTGAAAACTGAAAGTTGGCCTCAAAACACGGTTCCAATTCGTTTTTTTTTGTGTTTTTTGTTTTTTTTTTTCTCAAGCCATGCATTTGAATGCGGCTTAGATAGTGCTTGATTTGGGCGTGTTCGAGTCGAGAATACTTGAGCTTGGCTTTAGATAGATATGTGGAAAATTATAAGCAATATGTTTTCTTAAGAACACAATTCATTTCTGCCTTAAAGGCTAGATCTCATGATTAGGCCAACGACTATAGATTTAAGGTTCACTCTAAGGCTAACTATGCCAAGTTATATAAATATATACATGAATTTATAGGTAGCTAAATAAATAGATAGATAGATCGTTTTGTAGATATAAAGATTTAATGATATATAGACATACATAAGTTTCGGAACAACATTTTCCACATTCAGCTTACAACACTGGTTCATCTCATTTTCGCCAATATCTAATTTGTTATTAAACAATTTTAATACATTTAATAGTTAGACTTCTTAGTTATACTTCTGAGCTGAGCCTCCATTCTCTTCAACCTAAAACAAAATTAGGTTTTTTAAGCTCTTTTCTTAAAAGTAGAATATTGTCTCGGTACGGATTTGATTTAAAATGAACCAAACTGGTGTTTTACTTGCGAACTAGTTCGTTCTTAAATCCGATTTGCAACCTTGATATTATCAACGCAATTGCGGAGCTGTAAGAATATGTAAACGAGGCTGCGTGCAAAAGTCAACTACCACACACACACGCACACACGCACGCACACACACACATACATTGCGTGCTCTAAGTGATTTCAAAATAAGCCACAAGAAGAGTAACTTGAAGTCGACAGCCCATCGACGGACTGCCACACCCTCCGCCCGCACTGCCCCCCCCTCGACCCGACGACTCGCACGCATCTGTATCTTGTTTTGCTCGCGTCGCGTCTTTAGCAAGTGATTTCAATTTAATTGACAGTCCTTGAACTTGACTTAAAGGCAACCACAACACAAACAACTTATACAACAACAACAACAACTTCGACAACAACAAAATATGCAGAGGCAACCGGCAACAACCGGCAAATCAATGTGCCACACAGCCTCCTCCATCAGCTCGCAGAACTCTCTGGCAAATGTCAAAAGTTTAAGTTCTCATTCTTTCAATTTTTTCGTTGTTTTTTGTTTTTTTTTTTTTTTTTGGTGTTGTTTTTTTCCTCTCTATGAAAATCTATGCGCCATACATTATTCAAAAATCTAGTGCTAACAAATAAAGCATAACAATATGTTATTTGTGCGTGTGGCTTTTTTTTTTTTATTTTTTGTCCTCTCTTGGCTTTTGCTAATTTATACGACTTTAAACGACTTGGCGGGTTTTTTTTCTAGATACTCTATTTTCTAGATACTCTATTTGTCATCATAAGATGAGAAGGGTTTTCTGTCTAACTTATAATAAAAATTATTATTTTTGGTGTTTAGCATATCAGGTTTTTTAATTATTATTATTATTATTATTATTATTATTATTATTATTATTATTATTATTATTATTATTATTATTATTATTATTATTATTATTATTATTATTATTATTATTATTGTTATTATTATTATTATTATTACTATTATTATTATTATTATCATTATTACATCAATTTTATTATTCATTCATTATTCTCAATGTTTAAGAAAGAGTCTTTAATTGTTTGCTTAAGTCAAATTTTATTTAGTTTTTTGCATTTTCATGTTTTGCTATTAGTTGACGAACTTGAAAAGCAAATAATAAATTCGGAGAGGAGCAGACAGAGAGAGTGAGAGCGAGATGGAAAGGTAGAGAAAATTGAGAGTTAAGCGCGATTGACAAGAGAGGCGTGGCTGCGTTCTTCACGACTTTTAAGCGCAAAAAAAAAACAATTTTGTTAATCTGCTTGTCGTCGTTTTTTGCAAAATAAATCTTAAGAGCACATGGAGATAGACGTTCTGTATGAATATACATATATTGTGAAAGAGAGAGAGAGAGAGAGAGAGCGAGAGAGAGGGACGTTTGACTGTAGCATATATAATTTATATTGAAAGCATGCGTACGCCACGCATTCTGAAAGATGGATATGAATATGAATATGTACATATATGTATATATATATATATGCATGTATGTGTGTATCTATGTTTCTATATATTATATATATTGTATATACGAATAAGTATCTCACATGCGACCATTTCATTCAGTGCGCCTCGATGCATGTATGTGTGTGCGTGTGTGTGATGTGTGCGAGAGCTATGAATGGTTAATACTAGACATGGCCCATAGGAAAAGGTTGCCTATACCACCCCCCCCCCCCTCCTTCCCCCTCCTTTGCCCAGCAGCTTGAGCAGGCTTATAAAAATTCAATTATGACTCGGCAAGTTGGCAACACGTGTCGGTTTTGAAATGCTTTCGGTTTTCTATTTCGATTTTTTTATGATCTTTTTTTTTTTTTATTATTTTTCGCTTTTTTTTGGTGTGTGGATGCCTGAAGAAAAATTCATGGACTTGGGCTGCTCTTGAAGCGCACAGCTATTGTTGTGCCCGTGTGTGCGAGTGCTTGTGTGTGTGTGTGTGTGTGTAGTATACGCCCCGTGGGCTCATAAAAACAAAGCGCACGCAGCGAGAAGATAAATAGCCGCAGGTGACAAAACGATATTCAAATGCATAACTTGATATTCAATAGATAAACCGAAATCCAGAGCTCGTATAATAAAAGTAAATGAAACCAACACACACACACACATACACGCAAACACATGTGTGTGTGTACAATTTTTTGAGCGAGTTGAAGAAAAAAACTTTCACCCGCAAATGATCTATGGACACAAAAGCCAGCCTCAAGACTTTCGCATTCAAATCGATGAAGCCAGAAGCCAAACGCGTTCAAGTACACACATCTAATTACACTCAAAAAAAATTGAAGAATCCCCCGAAAAAAAAAACTGATTAGAAATCAGTTGTCGTCGACAAGAACTTACTTTCACAAAATCGAAATTCAAGTTCATGGCAAGAGATTGGCAAACTTTGAAGGCAACTCGCACAATTTCCCAAAAATGTACGCCTATCTCTAGCTCTATATAGTATATGCCTGAAGACTTGATGACGTTGCTATCAAAAAAAAAATATTAAACATCGATAAGTAAAAGTTCTCAAATCAAGATAGTGTGCGTGTATTTTCTGCATAGACTGTTCGGAAAAAAAGTGCGTGTGCGTGAGATACGCCGAGATTGTGGGGGCGCCTATAAGAAAAAAATATAAACCATGAAAAAGTCCATAATATTTTGATTTCTTTTTGTGTGTCAATGAACTCGCTTGAACTAAATTCTTTTTTTTTTTTGTATGCTTCCTAGTTTTATTGGCTTTTGTTTTATGCCCATTTAATTTTGGTTTATTTTCATTTTTATTTACACTTTGTTCGTGTGCGTTATCTGAAGGAAAAAAATAAAACTAAAACAAAATATTGTGTAGGCCGCTTTCTTGAATGCGTCTAGAAAAGAAAAGTTATGACAAATTCTTTGAGAGCTCTGATAAACGTATTTAGTCGCTTGATAGCGCTTGGATTTGGTTGAGAAATCGGGGCAAGAGGTCGGATTTAAATGTGTCGTATAATATTAGTTAGGTCTGTGTAAAAAGGGGAATCTACAGAGGCGAAGTCCGGCTGAAATCATAAGAATCAAGGTATAATAATGATAATTAAATATAATGCATAAGTTAAATATGCAACTGTTAAGTTTTTCCTAGCCTCTTCCTCATGACAGACCTGGCGGACTTATTGATAAGGTCTATATATATTTTATGGCAGACAATTTGAGCACAACTCAGTTGCTTTTGTGTTTGCCTGATAAGCCCCTAGCCGGGAATGCACGGCCTGCAAAAAAGTCCCGCTCACAGCGATGCGTCCACTCAGAAGTGAATCCCAGTTTTTTTTCGTTCAGCTATAAAAGCTCCAACTTGAGCTCTAGCCGAACACAGTTGAATTTTGCCAATCAAAGTATTCCCAGCTCCGACGAAAGATGTCTGCCAATAAGTCTTACATCCTGCTGCTCCTCGCCTGCTGCCTGGCTGCGCTTGCTGTTGCGGATGTGCTTCCGGGTACTCCAGCTGACAGTCTGATACGACGCCAGAGATCGCCGCAGCCGCAGCACGGCTCTGTGGTTGTAACAGCTGGCAAGGATGAGGCGGGACGTCAGGCGGGCGTCCAGTATAATCAAAATCTCTTCACTAGTCGCGATGGGCGCGGCAGCATAGATGCCTACGCGAATGCCAATCGCAATTTTGATCAGAACCGCAACAATTACGGCGGCGGCATTCAGGGTAGATGGCGTTTCTAATTATCAGACTATATGCCCATCTGATTCACAGCAATAAAGTGTAAATAGATATAAAGAATCCGTGACTGTTTACTTATAATGCCGAAAATCTGAGGCATTCGAGAGAGTTTTCTATTTTTAAATCTGCTAATTTGTTCAGATTTTAAAAAGGAAATCTGTTAAATTATGCTTAGGTCTTTAAGTGGCCCGTGCTCTGATAAGAAACTCAGGGATGCATAGGCCATAAAGAGCAGAGTATATGTGGGATAGATAAGAGGCAAAAGTCGATGCTCGATTGAATCAATTTTTACTGTCTCAGCAGCCTTTTAATTCTACATACATATATATATCTATAAAATGCAGCGGCCACTTAGAGTAGTTGCCGACTAACTAAAACTAAACTATTGTATGGCTATAATATAAGGGATATATATTTCACAGCCTCTTCCATATTGCAGACCTGTGGGGCTTATTGATAAGGTTTGTATATTTTATGGGGATGAACGGCCTATTAATCATAGTTATATGTCGAATCGGAAGTGAATCCAGTTGTTGTCCGATCGACTATAAAGGCTCCAACTCGAGCTCGAGCTGGACACAGTTAAATTTTTCCAATATATACACATCTGATTCATAACAATGAATTGTAGATATATATAAAGAAGTCGTGACTGTTTACTTATAATACCAAAAAATCAGAGGCTTGAGTGACAGTTTTCAATATTCAAAGCTCGACCTATGCTGTAGCTGCACATTTCTTTAGAGCTTCAAAAGGAAATCTTTAAAGAATTTGATAAGAAACTCAGGGATGCATAGGCCATAAAGTATAGAGTATATATGGTAGACATATATGATAGATAAGGGGCAAAAGTTGATGCTCAAATGAATCATATGAATCTGTTGTCTCAGCAGCATTCAATTCGGCTAGAACTCGCAACTGCAAAGGAGTATTTCGAATTACTACATACAAACATACAAATACTCGAATATGCTGGGGACATATCCATAAAATGCAGTGGCTATTTACTTAGAGTAGTTGCCAACAGCAACAAAAACAACAGCAGTATATACACACACACAAAAAAGGGGAAGCTATAACAAACATAAAAAAATGAAAGAACAAAACATTTTGCCTTGCCAAGCAGACTATTAAATACCCTATGCAGCAAGCGATAACCACTTAAGAGTTAAAGAAAGGAATCAACAATAAAACCTTATCACTTCCTTTGCTAAATGCGATCTGGCAACGCTGTCATGTGTTAGCCTCATTAAGTTGGCTGCGCTAGATGAAATACATTGTTGTAAATGCCACACACATTTGATATGACACAAGTTCATGATGTAGCTGATATGCCCGGCAGCTGCTGGCATTTGTAGAGTATACGAAGAAGTACTAAAAGTCATGAGTCGTTGGGTTCAATGCACTCCTCGCTGGCGCTGCCGGCGTTGTGTAACCAATAAAAATTGATTCTGTTGCGTGCGGGCAGCGGCGGCTTACAGGGGCGACAGGGGTAACAGGGGCAACAACAACAATACACTGTGAGAAAGTCTTAATGGAAGTCGCCTGCACTTTTGGGGTTGCATTTGATGCATTCGCTCTTAACGCCCGTTTCGGGCAGTGCGCGCAATGGGAAGTTATCTAGAAAAAAGCATTTAAATGGAGGAAAGGCAGAGGGTGCGAGGCGTCTGCTGTTTGATTGCATGACTAACAGTAATTACTTTCGCTTTCCGTTTGCTCAGCTGGCAAATCGATAAAAACACAACAACAAAAATTAAAGTCCCATTCAAGAATTTGAGAATTGAAATGCTTGACCCACGCAAATGCACATTTGAGGCAGAAATTCCGAGGATTATTTTTGGGAAAGTGCGCAGGAGACGCCTGAAAGGGAGGGACGGGTTCAGGGGCATTTACGAAAAAGAGGCAGCTGCATGGAAAATGACTTTCCATTTTCATTTAACAATAAGCAATCAATTGCAACAACAACAACAACAACAGCAACAACAACATGCTGCAAGTTCAAAGCAAAGCTAACGATCTATTAGAAGAAAGTAAAAACAACTAACAAAACAAAACACAATGAGAAGACAAAAGAGACGCCTCCTACTCACACGCCAGGTGAGCAGCTGCCGGGCAGCTGTCAGCTGATGCCAATCAGACAAGGAGAGCGAAACAGAGAGACAGAGAGTGAGGGAGAGGGAAAGAGCGAGGGAGAGTGGGAGAGCGAATGGGAAAATCCGTGTGTGCACCGTTAACTGGTTTTCATTTTCGGCTTGGAAAAACCAAACGCTTGTTGCCATTTTTAGTGGCAAAAAGCGGCGACTGCATCATAATGAAAGTGAAATGCATTGCGCAGATGGCAGCGATGGCAGTTACCAGCTACAGATACAGATACAGATACAAATACAGCCGCAGATGCAGATACAGATACAAATGCGGCAGAGAGAGAAAGAGAGACGCTCACACACACACACACACACACACGGACAGCGGCAAGTAAGTCAAGTGCAGTTGCCGTTTGTTGCAGCATGAAGTGCCACATACACGCACACACACACACACACACACACACACAGCTGCAACTGTTTATGGTCAGAAACTTGCGCGGAATGCAAGCGCAGGCGCAGGCGCATCGTCATCGACTGCCGCAGTCGCTGACTTATTTGGCATTTCTCATTTAATTGGCAAGAAAAGCGTTTGCCAGGCAATTTGCATACACATTGATGAATTATGTCAAGCCAAAGATACAAATGTATCTGCAGACATGCTACTGTATCCCATGGATAAACACTTCAATGTCAGCTCAGCTTCGAAGGCCGCCAGCAGTTTTCTCTGCACTTGAGGTTTTATCTGCCGCTGTCGCATCTTACATACAATGCAAAGATACATTGCGTACTTATTGAGATACATTACATGCAGGCACATGTATTTATGTATCTACATGAATGCAGCTCTGTGTCATGTAGTTCAATAACTCGATGACATTGAGAGTGGACGGCGTGTTACTTTGCATTGCGGTAGGACCAATGTCGACAAAGTAACTTCAGACAGTTTAAATGCAGATTGATGCACATTTATGCTGTAGCGAGTACTTTTCTGAGGCGTGCAACACAATGTGGCAGGCACACGATGCCAAATAGCTTTAAGGGCCAACATGTGCTTGGCTTAGAAAGGCTTCTAAGCGAGAGTCTTAACTGCAAGCGATTGCTCCAATAAGACCCATATTATATAGTACTTCGATTTGATGCAATTTTGCAGATAGAAACATTTGAAGAACAGAAACTAACAGAACTAGCCTGGCTATATTGACTCGGCTGTAGACACTTGTGAAAAATATATATACTTTATGTGGCAGGGGATGTCGCCTTACTTTCTAAGGCCTTACTTCTCATGCCAATATAATATTGCCCTCTGTAAGAACTGCAAAAAGGCAGAAATAATCAAATATTCGCGAAGTTGTTCAACACTAACTACTCGTGATCGAGGACAGAGTGCCAGAGAACTAGTTCACTTTGTAATGGCTTTGGGATCATTTAGCCCCTGTCAACACTGGCAGCAAAGCTTACAAATGCAATTAATTGATTTAAAATAATCAACTTACTAAAACATGTCGAGTTCACATCTTATTTAAATTCCTGGAATAAAGCGCCTGCACCTTTCCAAAAAGTTGTCTTAAATAAAGGCATTTCTCTGCGCATTTTATTTGTGATCAAGTCACAATAAGTTAACCTCTATTTGTAAGCCATGTGAATAATGTGCATAGCTAAAGCAACAACAGTGAGAGAACTGAAACAACAATAACAACAACAATGCAATGTTGTTTTTTGTTGTTGTTGTTGTCTGTTACATTTCACTGGTTTTGAAAGTGAACGTTTGCGCAGGCGGAATCGGAATCACGACTCGCAGGCATTGTGGACAGCAGCACAGTGGGGCAAATGCAATGTAAATGTGATTTGTTGTTATCATATTTGCACACAATGTTGTTGTTGTTCCTGTTGTTGTTGTTGCGTGTCTGCATCTCTGTTATTGTTGCTGCTGCTGATAAGACGTTGAATGCGATTACCAAAACGCACAGGCGAATGCGAATGCACACGAAAAACCCAGCCAAAAACAAGTTGTAACTTGACCCACGTTGTTGTTGCAGTTGCTGTTGTTGCAGTTGTTGTTGTTGTTGTTGTTGAATCAACAGCAGCGTGGGTGAAATCCCAGAGATACATAAATTTTTCGGCGTCGTGTTGCTGCTGTTTTTACTTTTCCAACGCGCCTACAAATGATTTATAATATATTTTTTATACATTTTTTTACTGTGATTTTTCGCAGTTATCTCTTACTTATACCCTGTAAACTGTGCACGCAAGGTATAGCAACTTTAGCTGCAGCTGAAATGAAAAATCCTTCGTTTTGCCTGCAACGAATGCTCTTCAAAAATCTTCAAAAAATATTATGCAGGGCATCTCACGGCTCGAAACTCTCTTGATTTGATTTTGAACATTTGTTTCTTTTTTTTATAACATTTTTGCGCCGATACAGATACATTTTGGCTTGCATATCTCTTGAGTTACATTTTTGTAGCGTCTGCGTCTGCCGGATAGACAACGACGACGACGACGACGACGACGGCGGCGCGACGTCCGTTCGCTGCGTAGGCAGCTGCATCAGGTTGACCCAGTTTTCGCTTTTCATACCCAAGCGGGCAGTCAGGGAGGCAGGCGGCGGCAGGCCCGTCTTTGTGTTGTGCTGGGGAATCGTCTTGTTTGATTTTTGTGAAAATTATACGAAATGCAATTTTTAAGTAGACTTGTTTTATGTGTTCGCTTTAATTTATGGCATTTGGCCGCTCTGCTCGTAAATCGCACAACAACGCTCAATCAATTTAACACACATTTTAAACCACAACAAAAAATAAAAAACCCACCCGCGCATGCCACTTATTCAATTGAATGGCCACGTAACCCGCTGTGGAGCGACAAAATTCCTACTAAACTAGTTTTGCGGCTGCCTTTGAGTGCGTGAGTTCTGCCTGGTCTTGTCTCGTTGAC